GTGTATAAACAATCGCTTAGGTGATGTCTCTTTATTCGTATGTTTTGTGGATTGGGAGGCTATTCCTTTTTAAAACAAGAAAGACCACTGTTTTCTCTTATGGCATAGTGACCGGTCACAGCCTCTGCTTTATACAGGCCTACAATTAAGAAAACATTTCTTTACTTTCGCGGACAATTATGACCTGAGGTGTTCCTAAATATATTTTCAGTACTGTATAATAACTAATTTCTCAAAAGACAAGATACCTTTATACTTTTTAATTTGGATGGTATCCAATATGCAAATTGAAAAGTCGTTCAAAAATTGCTTAAATTTCTCGTTAAGACACATCGAGCGAAAATTTCTCGTTAAGACAGACCTCTAAAAATAGCAAAATTGGCCTTAAAAACTAAATAATGCGAAAATTTTATATATGCTCGCGTTTTTCGCAAAACTCGTAGCCATCATATACATAATGACTGTTTTATTTTTTTTTTTTTGAAGTCCTAGGCATAATATCCAGTGAAATAAACGCTTCATGAAAGTAATGAATTATTCGCTTCATAGCAAAACCAATTGCAACTTGCTTCGACCATGTGATGAACGCTCTCTTAGTTCAACGTAATCAAAGCATAATTTATAGTAAATTTATGAATCTGTTGATGTGTTGCTTTACGCTATAAAGATATACATATTTATTTATACGCACACAAATGATAGAAAATGATAAATAATTTATGCCCATATTTAATGGGAAATTTTATTGATTATTAAATTAGTGTTTATTAAGATTTAATACCCATGACGAAGTAATAATTTATAGCGTCATCGACAGGCTTCACACATATCCCAACTTTAACTCATATCAAAATAAAGATTATTTTGGGAAATTTTGTTGTATAAAAGTGAAATGTGTTTGTCAGCTTACTTTTCTTGAAATATTGAAAAGTTATTGTATTTTATTTTGCTTTCTTCTTCCATCGTACATCATCTATGGTACGAGGGTGGACTAAGGTTACGCACAAGTACGCAACACCCAGGAGAGATTGAGATGGACCCGTCTTTTATTATATCAATTAGTATCGCTTTCTGAATCGATTTAAATTTGTCCGCCTGTCTGTCCGTCTATCTATCTGTCCAGGTATTTACAATCTACAGGCAGCAATATTTGAAATACCTTAACGAACACCAACACAACGTGTTTTGCTTCGATGGCGAACGCTTTTGAAAATGGTTTAGATCGGACCACTTTTTCAATCACTTCCCATGTACAGACTTATTTTGAAAAATTGTCATACGAATAACTGTGTTAAGCGAATTGCAAGGTAGTGTGGGTCACAGCCAACTATAATGTTTTTATTTTACTTTTCTTTTTTTTTTAAGGTTAATTTTCTTAACATTTTACATTTTGAGGTCAATGTTATTTAAGTGAGATTTTCTTTCTTCTTCTTTCGGGGCTTAAAAACACCCTCTCATTACGCATTTAAGCGAGCTTAACAACCATCAGCATCAGTATGAGCCAAATTACCATGACATTAGCATACACTAACTAACAATGACAAATTACCACTTAAAGTGAATAGACATTCGAGACCAGAGAAACAAACATTCCGTTACAGTACCAAAGTAATGAAAACATGGAAATGATGAACGACGCTTTAATGTGGGGGATAATAATGCGGGGCGTAAATCTTTGGTAGGAAACATAAATCCATAAAAAAAAATGGAAAAAAAAATGCTTTTATAGGTACAAAGCACTTAGTGTCACTCTTAAAAACTTTTAACATATGCTAAACCAAACAAACAAAGTCTAAGTGTATAAAAGTAAATGTGTTGTCTTTTAATTGGACTAACATGCGTATAAGAATATGTTTGCAAAAAAAAAAAAAAAAAAAAAACAAGCAGAAATAAAAACAAAAAAAAGGACTTTTTTTATAATTAAAATATCTGCCTTTGCAAGGATGCATGACCCCGCGTTATAAAATGTGCCATTGAAGTTCACACTGTTTGTTTGAACAGATACGAAGGCCTGATCTTCTCTACTTTACAAAAAGAAGAAGTAGGAAAAGCAAACAGTTTTTGTTTGCGATAATTAAAAAACATATGTAAAAAGCTTACCATACAAGCAAGAAGGTTATTGGACTTCATTCTTCTCACCCACAATATTTTTTAAAATTAATTTCATGCGATTATTAAAGAAATCTTTAAGGTCAAAAATTTCTCATAAAAATTTATAATTTTCATATCTTTGAAAATTGTTTAAAATTAGATAATAAAACTAATGCTTGCCTTGAGATAAATTTTTGGTATCCATTACCTCAAGGAAACATATGCAATTCGAAAGTTATTTGCACTGCTGTTTCGCAAACGGTGGATTGTGACATATGACCGATGTAATCGTGAAGTAAGAACAAGATAAGTCAATTCAAGTATGCATTGTTAAAATTTATCACTAATTGATTTCAGCTGTTTAAAGCGCAGTTAATTTATTCAACTACCTCTCACTCAATCACAAATTAAGCTGTTAAGTCAATCTCTTAATTAGTATAACTTTTATTAAGTAATTTTCTCTATTTCCTTTATGTATCCACCTCCGGTAACAGTTCTGCTCAGGTTCGGCTGTTTAATTAGCCTAATTCACACTGTTAACTTTCTCTTTTTTGATTCTCATCTTTAGCGGCAACCCACACCAAGACACAAAGACCTAGTCATAAACTTTTTATTAAATTTATTTTCACTTGTTTTATAGTAGCACACGTTGAACATTTTCGGAACTTCCATTCTACATTGGACTCCATGTTCAAATGAATTTTCTTCCGGAGAAAATCTCACTTGCTGCAAGTAGATGGGAGATAGGTAATGAAATGCAAGAAACAAAGGGCTAAAGGTGCTTTTTTTTCTTGCATATCCCGATTTCTTATTCTTCTCAAATGTCAATGCCTATGTACATGCATTATAAATACCCCTTACTCAAGTAACTAGTTTGAGACACAAGCAATGAATTCCTTTGCAAAGTAACGGATTTCTTTAACCGATTTTTTCCCTTCTCTGAATAAGGTCGTAACAAAACAAAAAGTGGAATTACTCTGCTTCCCGCATATTAGCTGGCAATTTTTATCGTTCCTTGAATTACTGTCGCGATTAAAAAATTGTGTTAAATGTCGGGCACTTGTAAAATGTCATGCCACGCTGAACATTTTTCCTTCAGGAAGAAAGGTCAACTAGCCACTTATATCGAGCAAGCAATTCTTTGCTAGAGGGCGAAATCTAATCGAAAACCCGGTATCTCTTTGTAATTGCTTTCATCAAATTCTTTTTAAGTGTTTCTTTAATTAGATGCCGCTTTTTCATTGCTTTCAACCCTAGTTTACATTGGCCATGAACCGACATTCTTAGTTTCTTCTTTATACCCGTCACCGAAGGATGGAAGGTGCATTCGCTTTGTCACACATGTGTACACATATACACATACAGCGTTAGCACCATCCAGAGCAAATCTTCAGGTAGCGCACATAGTAGATATATTCGTGATGAGTATTAAATTCAATCTAAACATATGCGTTAAGGCGCCTGTCCGCTGATGTAATGTCTATGCTGGACATTTTGCTGATCGCAAGAATGAAGATTATCAGGTTCAAATTTGATAAAAAGGTTACAAGTGCTTGATTTAAGCATGTCCATCTCTCTGTCTGTCTGTTTAATGTCTGTAGTAAACATTGTCTCGGTCGCACAAATGAAGATATCGACTTCAAATTTGACATGAACATTGAAACTTCTGGCACGCAGATTGGTGTCCGGAATAGATCAAATCGAAGACCACCTCCTCCCTCAAAAACAAAAAAAGTAATTTTTTTGCTAATTATTCACAAACTATATAGATATGCGATAACAATTTGCGCCACTCTTTTCTATATATATATATATATTTATTTTTTTTTCTTAAGGGATATAGCAAATTCGGCCGCAGCCGAACACAATATTCCCACTTGTTTCTTTTTCTTTCCAATTATCGGCACACCTCAACCAACTAAGCCACTATAGACTTTAAACTGCAATTATTATTGTTGTTGTTACGTTACAAGTATTACGCTAATGTCAAGGCTAAATTGATTTGAAAAGAACAAACGCAAAAACATTGCTAAGTTGAACCTGAGAGAAAAATATTTGAAATTCTTTTGGCGATGAGACTCGTGATTAATAAATTCTCATACGTTAACCATATGTGTAACATGTTCACATAATCCCGTAGTTCTTTTGCCAAAGCCATATGGAAGACACAATCAATAATGATTCAAAATTCATACTTTGGAGAAAAATTAGATAAAGAGAAGAAAAAATCGTCGACATCTTCCACCTTAAGGAAGTTTATACAAATGTCTGCCATCTGCAGATACGTCAAATGACCAATGAAAATTCTTCCGAAGCACAGTGCCTTTGAATAAACCTGTTATATAAGGATTCGCCCAATTCTGGAACTCGTTCCAAACAATTAAGTTCGACTTATGTGATTTCAAATGAAGACTTATCGCTCTATTTCTAAATAGATTCAAATTCGGGAAGTCGATTTTCTCTATATATATATGGTTATAGTGTGTATATATGAGGTCGTAAAGAAACTTTACTTTGTTCGCTCGCTTGGGAAAAAAGAAAGAGTTTTTGCAGTGCCTGACCTTTGCCAGTGTTCCATGGTTTTTTTGAATCAGAGTTGACTAAGTAAGAGGTCATCAACCTGATGTAGGAGTCTACTTAATAGGAATGAAGAAGCTATTCAAAAAATAGGCGCTAGTTTGGTTAAATTCGGACAAACGTTTGCATCATTCTTTAAAACAATAAATTACAAACTCGTTGTGACTGCTTCTTTAACTCCAAAGCCAAACTGATCAATATGGTAAAAGACTAGCCTAAAGGATAGCCAAAGCTAACTGGTAAATAAGAAGAGAAAAATGTTGCTCAAACAATTTGGGCAAATTAAACCCAGAAATTTAAGACAGGATCTGCTATACATATTTCCGACAATTACAAAAAAATTAACCCAATTAATATATATATATATCGACTCTCTGAATCTGTTAACTGTGAACTCTTAATTTATCTAATTCGGTTCAATTTATTTTTGAAATTGCATTAATTATCCATCTACGCATTAATAGTTTTTAAGCACTTGTTGAAAATTATACTTTTACTTGAATGAAAAGGAAGGAAAAAAAAACCCAAGCACAGAAAAACTTTTTCTTTTCGACAACTCATCAACTCGGCCATGACCATGACATCAGCAAAAGATTTTTTTTTTTTTACAAATCACAAAATTATTTTCAAAGAATTGTTAACCAGTTTTTAAAAAGCTTTTATAGCGAATTAAAGCAGAGCTAAGAGAGAAGAATATTGTAATAAAATTGTTGTACCTGAAGTTAATGGAAAATATATATAATTTTTCTTTAACTTTCATTCTAGAAAGATCTCTTCGAAGGGGATCGTTAAAATTCTAAGCTAATTTGCATAAGAGTTTCCTCTAAACATGGAGCTGCCATCTATGGTACAGCGTTCCGGAGATACGTTAATAGTACGCAGTGTCGTTAGTGGTAATCAATTGTATTTAGATCAGACGGGTGGTGCCGTAACCGCGGGATCAGCGGGACAAAGTCTCCATCAAAGTGCGAGTCCCATTCAGAGTACATTACTTTTAGAGCAACAATTTGAACGTATCAAGCGAGCCGCTCAAGAAGCACAGAATCAGCAAATTTTACAGCAGCAACAACAGCAACAACAACAACAACAACAACAACAGCATCAGAATCAGAATCAGCAACGCCAACAACAGCATTCGGCACAGTCAACTGCTGCCTTAGAACTTAAAGACGAGGCTTTGCCGCAATGCAAAATAAAACGTAACTACAGCTGCAACTATTGTACCTATTTTACCCAAAATCCACGCTATCATTTAACTCATTTACGCGATGTTCACGGCGAGAAAATTGTTATTAATAAATGCAAATTGTGTTTATATGCCTCTCGGCACTATCAGAAGTTGGTGCGACACATGCGAATGGTACACGGCTGCACTGATGGTATAGCCGGCAACCACGCTCAGTCTCGTGGTAAACGTGGCATAAATCGCGAGGCTCGCAAACGTAAATTAGAGCAGAATATAAGCAGCGGAAATAGTACAAATTCGCTGCCATTAAATTCGACTTTAAACGTGGCGGAAATTTCTTCTCTGGAGCAGGTGAGTTGAACAAGTCTATTAAGAGGTAACTTTAATTTTATTTAATGGCTTATGTTATTCTGGCATAGGTAAAAAATGACTTGGAACGTCAACAACAAAAACTACAACGGGATATAGAAGCCTTCAATAAACAGCAAGAGGAACAAAAAGAACAACAAAAACAACAAATCAATGCAGCTGAGGCAATATTGGCAGCAGCTTACGAACAACAATTGAGAGCACAACGCGAATATGATCTGGAATCGCTAAAGGCTTTGGGTAGCGCGTACGAAAATCGTGAGTCGCCGGCTTTAGATGCGGTAGATATCGCCCAAACTAGCCCGCCACAAACGAAACATTTCAATCTTATACCTGCCCACACACAAACTCTACAACAACATTCTCAATCTCAACATCAACCCCAAGTGCTTCCGCCACAAAGGCCCAGTTTTGAGCTGACTCCATCACCTTCGGGCAGTGCTTCGTCACCTCCACCTCCTCCCCAGCAGAATAGCAGTAGTGGCAGTAACACACCCAATAATTTATCAACTTACGGACCCTCCGATGAGCCTTCCAACAATCGCTTGTTGAAATGTAGCTTGTGTGACTACACTACACTTTATAGATCGCATTTAGAGGATCACGAAATCGAAGAGCATTGCAACGCGAAATTTTATCGCTGTGAAAAGTGCTCTTACGTAACGCACATTAAAGCTCGCTTTAGCAAACATGTTAAATATCATTCCATGCCCATGATCAAATGCGTTACCTGTGACTTTCGTACCCCTTATAAATGGAACCTCGATCGCCATATGAAAAATCACGGTGGGACAGGACCTTTCAAATGTGCCGCTTGTGATTTTACCGCTGATATCAAACAATCCCTTACCGTTCATGAAATGAATCATCACGTACCACCTGTGGGTCATGCTGCTGGCATGACGTTAGCCAGAAGACGCAACAAAGTGGGCGGTACTGATTTGAATGAAGATTTCTTTAGCGATTCGGCTGAGCTATTGGAAGACCACTACAATAATAATCATATGGACGACTATGATGAGTTATTATTAAGTGCTGGCCACAATATAGGTGCATTTGCTAAACGTAGTCGCTATGAAGATGATGAGCCCACCGATTTATCGCAAAAAGGCGGTTCTTCTGACACCTCTTCGGTGCACAATCAGTCGGTGTCAGGTACAGGAAAAGCAAAGGCCCCTTTGCCTAATCTGGTGCCGCTTACTAAAGAAGATGATAATAATATATTAAATCTCTGCAAGGATTTAGCCTCTTCTCGTAGTTCTCTTACCGAAATTGCCTCGATGTTCTTTAACGAAAAGCAAATTTCAGAGATGCTGCAACCATTGGATAAAACAGGTGCTACTGTTGCCTCCGCTCAGCTTTCTCCTACCACAACAATACACTCAAGTACCAGCAGTCGCAGTTTGTTACAACGTCGCGCTGGAGGATTTTTTGACAAACTGAAATCTTCAAGTACGGCCAATGAAAACCTCATTTGTCCCTGCGGGCACGTCGCTAAATGTTTATCCGAATCAATAATACATCGTCAAAGCTGCTCATATTCTACGTTATCTGGTAATGACGACATCGACCTGGATGAAGATGATCATGAAGATGACGGAGAAGGACGTTTGGAAATCGATTTCGTGGATGACGAAGATGGCGATAGACAATCGCACTCAGCTTTAAATCTAAGCGTTACGGGCTCAACAAGATGCCAACACTGTCGTCACCGGTGCAAATCTTCGACAGATTTGTTAAATCATCTGAAGAATTGTGCAGAGGCCGCCATTCGTATAGGGAATGATTCCTATGATTCTATGAGTGGTGAAAGTAATACAGGTAGTCGTGGGCTAATGACAGACAATGTTGGTGACTTACAGCATCCTATGGAAAACCGCGTATTTATTTGGAACAAGCTACCACGTAACGCCGGAGGAAGTGAAAGCCAACAAAATGGCCTCGAAGGCGGTCAGTCATCAACAAAAGAAAACAACAGTGGCGGTGGAGGTTTAGGAGGCTCCAACGCGAGCTTATTAAGCGCCAACAATGATGAGAACAGTTATTACGGTGTTGAGACCGCTCCCGGTTATGGCGAGGTAAGTCTCTAACTAAACTTCTAATTGAATGTTTTCAACTATTATAAACCGCGAAATTAAGTTAACAAATACTAAAACATGTGCTGTAGTAAATGTTTTAAGGACAAATCTTTTATTCCAAATGAAATATGAAACTTTCACTCTTTCCAGGTAACGAAAAAGATGACGCCTGAGGAGGAAGCAGCTAATTCCTCGCTGAAAAAGGTTTACAAATGCCCACATTGTTCTTTCTGGGCTTCCACCGCTTCTCGTTTCCATGTGCACATTGTGGGACATTTAAATAAAAAACCTTTTGAATGTTCTTTGTGTTCCTATCGATCCAATTGGCGTTGGGACATTACAAAGCATATACGCCTTAAGACTATACGTGATCCTAGCCACAAAAATGCCAGAGTGCTAATGAACGATGAAACCGGCCGTCGCAATTACACGAAATATAATAAATACATAACATTGATGAAAGTCACAGAGGAAGACGGTGATCCCAAGCTAATGAAATCTGGGGAAATGACACCGAATCAAGTAGCCTCGTTGTCTTTTATAAACGATTACAATAAACAACAGCAGCAATCCCAAAACTCTTCTCCTTCGACGACTTCAGTTACTAACTTATTAAACGGAATTCGAGAGGATGTAACTTTAGAACCTTTGGCACCAAAGTCTAATGCAGGTACGGGAGAAGAAGCGGAAAGCTTTATACGTCTTCCACTTTTGGCCTCTATGATGAATGCGGCCATGGCTCAGCAGCAACACAACCAGCATCAAAAAGAACAAGAGAATGCAACTCTCATAACGCCATCGGTGACCATATCTGCCGTTAAAAAATCTCCACCGCCAGCCCATAGCTTCAAGCCAAATGAAGACGTCATTTTAGAAGTAAGACAAGATGGTAATGAGAAGAAAACCTTTTATAAATGTCGTAAATGCAATTTTAGGTAATTATAAATAACATAACCGTAAGGTGATGGAAAAAATTATTACAATTCATTATGTGGTTTTCCTTATTTAGACATCTGAATCGGGATACTGTCGTGACTCATCTTAAAATTCATTATGCGGACGCGAATGTGCCAACTGTTACAGCTACATCGAAAACTGCTAACTTGCCTGGAGTTCTCAACAATCCTCCGCAAATGGCGCTGAATCCGAATTTATATATGAATAAAGTTTTGGCTATGTGTCTAGGCCAACAAACACCACAAAATTCTCAACATTCAAATGCACAACATTCCAATTTGTTAGCTGCTGGTTCACTAAGCGGTTTGGCTTTGGCCTTGGCTGGTAAAAATGCTTCGAAAATTAATCAGAATAATATAACAACAAATATATTAGAGCACGGTGAGCAGAAAGCGAGTCCAAACGAGGCAAGTGCCCAAACAAGTAACACATCGTCACCTAAACATTTAACATATGCGACACCAGTGACATCCTCGACTCCTGCGGCTAACGCAACCAAATTAGTCTCAAGTAGCAGTAATGGTGGTAGTGGTGGTGGTGGTGGTGGTAGTACATCATCTTTAGAACATTTATTGACTTCACCAAGAGGCTCTTTTAGTAAAACACCATCTAGCAATACAAGCAATGGATTTAAGAACACAACATTAAGCAGCAACACACCAACTGTAACTACTCCTCCTGCCACAAGTTTCAATACAATTAATATATTAAATCTAAGACGATCACCATTTACAACAGCAACTGTAACCAAAATTAATAACAAAAAAAGTTGTAATAGTATTGGTGATTGTATTATTGGTGACGGTAATGGTAGTCATTTTGGTGGTGGTGTTGTTGTTAATAATAGTAAAATCATTAATAATGAAAATATTTCATCGTCATCTTTAAATCCATCATCATCATCATCATCATCCTCATCATCATCGCCGGCAGCAACATTGAATAGTAACAATGCTGTTGGCAATGGTGTTGTTGTTAGTGGTGGCGGTGATGGAATTAATTTACATGATATTGTCTTGGTATATGGTGCTTGTTCTTCTATTCCATCTGATCATTCTAATGTTATACAAAACTCTACAATAACTTCAAATCATCTACAGAGAGCAACAACAACAACATCAATGTTGTTGACTTCTACTACATCAACGACAACTACAACCAATCCATCATCGACGTCAAATACAAATCAGACTCAATGTAATAATAGTTATAATAGTAATAATAGCAACGACAACAACAACAACAACAACAGCAACGGCAATAATAACAATTTATCGTATAATAATTGTGGTGGTAATGGTTCAAATCATAATAGCAACAGTAATAATAATAACAATAATAATAATAATAATAATAATGGTAACGGCAGTAATAACAATAACAACAATAATAATAATTGTAATAACAATAATCTATTAACGCACGACAGTGCAGATCGACGTGATCCATCGCCATATCGTTGTGGTCATTGTCATCAAGTATCAAATTGGAAGCATGTTATTCAGGTATTACGAAAAAAAACAAAAAGAGCGAAAGAATTTTAATAATAATTTTTTAATGCATTTTAGTAAAAATTTTTCCTCGCGTTAATCAGATTAATGGAAGATTTGTTCAAACAAGGGGAAGACTTAGAATAGATAGATAGATATAGCTTAACACAAATTGATCTGAAAATATTTCATTGAGAAATTGCCTAAATGACCACGAAAATCCTAAACGACAATTTTTAATATACTTTTCTAAATCTTCAGGGTTAATGTCCAAGAAGGCCTGAAAAGCTTGTCCAAAATTTTATATAAGATATGTATGTTTTTCTCCTTAAGGAATATTTTTAAATTTTCCAAAGGTTTTCAAAGAATACGCCTATGTACGTTCGCTGCTAGAGATATCTCATTCCTGCCTCAGTTCGCGTGGAGAGAAGCACGGCCGCCCTACATTAGCAGTGAACTCCGCCCCTAACAATACTTTAGGTGCCTGTTAATGCTCGCAGATCGAGCCTAAAAATCATTACAAGACTGCCAAATGCTCCCTTGATCCTTATAAAAATAAAATTTCGAGGCCTCAAATAATTTCATTAATAGCTTGCGACTTTAGCGGTGATTAACTCAAAAGAAAGAGTGAAGAACACAACACTACAATGAACTACAATAGCGACTGGTCAAGATGTCTGCATGACTGGTATGGTCAAAAAAAAAAACGTCTCAGTCAGCCCACTTATCCACACATGTTTTTCAATAAAATATTAACATTATTGAGATAGCCGTAGAGGAGAACCGAACTTCCCCATCTATTTCCAAAGTGAATGTAATTAGCTTTTATTCAATAGGATTTCTTAGCTCAAAGGGGATTGAAAGGAGAACGATTTTTCCCATTTTGACATTATTTTTGTTGAAAATTATTATTTGCCCGTAAGGCAGATGGCTTACAATCGGCTGCAGTGATTTAAAGTTTGATGTTATTGATATGGCATATGGGAATATTAGTTTCTTCTTCTTATTTATTTCTTCTCAATTTGTTTTTATGAAAATTTGCAAATTTTTTTTTTTTTTTTTGCTGATATTTGGAGGAAGTTATAAAAAAGAAGTCCAGATATATGTAAAAACCTATACACATATAAATTAGAAGCGACTACCTTTTATTAATCTTAAAGCTAAAATGGATTTCTTAACTTAAATGGGGATTGAAAACAAAAATCGTTTAGAAATTATTCCTCTTTATAGTGTGCTGAAGGAGAAGTATGTAAAAATCAGGCTAAGAACGAAAGAATACGGCTGGGAAGATCCAAGACCTATTAACGCATAATCATAATCTTCCTTTAATCTTGAAAAGCTAAAAGGTTTTTTTTTTGTTTTTTCCAAACAAGATTTGATTCAATTCTGTATTAGAAAAGTGCTTCAAAAACACCTGAGTTTCTACCAAACATATGAATGTCCTTATGTTTTATGGTAAATATATGTAAGAATTTATATGAAATTTTAATTAAGAAATATTTAATGTTTTTTTTTTTCTTTTCTCCTTTCATTATTTGGTTTTGGTTAATTTATTTTGTATAATTTTTGGGCTTTTTTTAAATATTTACAAACATGGTGTAAGCTTTTCTCTATTAAATTATTATTATATCATTTTCCAATTTAACCTTTCATTTGGAGAAACACAAAACGGGGTTTTTGGTGCGCATCTCTAATTCATTGGAACAGAAAAACAAAAAAGAAAAAAGCTTTGAAACAACAATTTCCTCTACACTTACATAAAAAAACAGATATACATATGCATATATGTTTTGTGTGCTTTCCTTAGAACAACCAAGTAATTAATATGAATTTTCTTTTCTTTTTTTTTCGTCTTAATTATTTTAGCGTCATTGTCGCTTGAAACATGCTGGAGATATACGCATCGAAACCCTTGATCGATTAGCGGGCAACGGTATCGGTGAACGTGGCGTCATTGGTCCGGTATATAAGCCATTGGTCAATGGAGCTTCTAACGAAGTTAACAGTAATCAGAATAATCAGTATAGTATGACATTGAAAGCTTTACAACAACAACAGCAGCAGCAGCAGCAGCAACAGCAAAACCCTAACAATAGTAATAGTAGCACCAACAACAACAATAACAACAATACCAGCGCACTTATCAATAACAATCATCACAAGAGCAACAGCAAACAACTCAATGCTTTAATTAAAAATGAATTGACTACAAATATTTTGCTAAATTCACCTTTAACAGCATCAGCAGCAGCGGCCGCCAATGCTGCAAATACACCACAAGATCTACAGGCAGCTGCTGTAGCTTACTTAGCTGCCGCATACAAAGCAGCTACTTCCCAAGGTGTCGGCAATACTAATATCATTGCTGGCATAGCCAGTTCTTTAAATTTGGCCGAAGATCTTATTATACAGCAGCAGTTGCAGCAAAATGATCAAATTGAAATAACACGCGTACCTTCTCATCCCAGCAATGGCTCGACTTCCAATAATGCAGCAGCATCAAATCTGGCACAGCTATTAGAAGCAACGCCCCAATCTTCCCAACAACATCAACAACAACAGCAGCAACAACAACAACACCAACCTAGCAACAATAATAATAATAAATCCAAACAACAGAAGTGTCCTTTATGCACATATATATGCGACAGTAAATCACAAATGAATTATCATATATCGCTTCATAAGCCCACACAATACGAATGTCCAATGTGCACGTTTGTGTGTGCCAAGAAACAACATTTAAGTAGCCATATGCGTTCCGTACATCAAATGACACAAAATCAACCATCGTTAGGACAAAATAATGTCAATCAAGTCCTTCAACCCCCTCTAATGGCGCCCCTTACCAACACTAACAATAGCAATAACAACAACAATAACGCAAATCCTCTTAACATGGACTTTGGCATGACTCTGCAATTGGCGGCTAGCCAAACACAACAGGTAATCAAACATATCGAAATGTGTTTTATATAACCTCATCTGTATACCCCGTTACTACTCCTGCGTTTAATATTACAACAGCGAGTTTCAATTTACCGAGGATAACTGTACAAACATGGCATGAAATTTAAAAATTTTATATGAATTTTTTTAAAACAATTCAAGCAAGATATTTGCTTCTGAGCTACTTGCTAAATCATAAACTTTTCGGACTCTCTCTGCATTATTTTCCGTTGCGACTTTTTATTGAGATCACTTTTGTGAGGCCTTTCTACAACTTGCGCCGTTTGTTGTACAAGGGTATATTAAGTTTGTGCGGATGTATGCAGTAGTCAGAAGGACTTCAGATATTACTCACTTTCTTTATACTGATCGATTCAGAATCAAGCTTTCTAGCCTTGTTTGTCCATTTGTTCGCCTTCCCTTATGTGTCTGTATTCTTTTGTTCTATCTGTCTGCCGCGATTTCACATTTCCATGGAATTCGCTTCTTGGCCCAAAGGCGAACGCTGTCGACCGCTTCGAATCGCGGAACGGGTTCCTTTTTCGACTAATTGTCATTTAACTCGTCATTTAAACCAACACCACCTATAGGGCGGTGTAGAATGTTTAATGATCAGCCGTGACCTACTATACACTGTCATTTATTTGTAAATCAATTAAGAAGGTGGGGGTTCAAGTAAAAAAGAAAAAATTAGATGTGCAGCCTTTAGTTTATTTCTCTATAAGTAGACTAATTTAAAGTCTTCTCTTGAATCATTCAAGGAATTCTTAATACAAATATTACCTCTCTTCTTTCCAGGACTCTTTCACATTGGGTACTCCTTTAGCCATTGATTTGTCTAATTTGAGGCAAAATCCGATTAATAGCACTTCACCAACACCAACTCGGGTTTCATCTACACCGACTCAGCAACATAATTTACCACCTGAATATCAATATCGTATGATTTACTTCTGCCCTAAATGTCCGGCACGTTACGCCCAAAAGCACAATGATCCTCAGACGGCGAAAAATAACTTAGAAGAACATTTACGTTTCCACGCTGTCCATCCAAATGTTAATCATAAATATGAATGTGATTATTGTGATTTCCGGGCTCCACATGAAACTCTCATACAAACCCATCGCTATTTGCATACTACCTCCTATCAAGAGAAATGTAATGAATTATATAAAAACTGTAAAGAGGATTCCGTATATAAAGCTCCGATATTAATACCTATAACGACCACTAAAAAACCCTACATACAAGAAACCATATGGATTGTGGAGAATGAACCATCATCGCAGTCCATGGAACAACATGATAATAAGCATAATAAGAAACAACAACAAAATTCGATTATAACATCGAGTTCGTCGAGTCTATTAACAGGAGCTTTCAATAGTAGCAATTCGTTGCTGAAGAAACAGTTGGAATCTCATCAAAGCCCTTCGCCTCTTACACAACAGCCGCAGCAGCAATCGTTATTTAATAAAACGCAGCCACAACAAGATAATGAGGATTCGTCATCCAATACGCAATCGACTTCAGCATCGATAGCTACCAGCGATTTGGCCGCAGACGCTGAATCTAATATGAATTCACCGGAAACGGAAAATCAACAAGAAAAAGATTCCGGCTGCGATCTTAGCTCTAAGGAACGTTGCCCGTATTGTCCATTCGAAAGTGAGAACATGCAAGAATTTAAAGCTCACATACAAAAACATATATCTGTTACGCAACGAAAGCTCAATCATAACTGTGAGCATTGCGATTACACCGCAGACGAACGAATAGAGATCGAGGAACACACTAAGGTGCATTTCAATAGCATGGAAAAACTCAAGCAAGTGGTGTTTTTCACTTCCTACGATAAATTGGAACTTAGCACCACTGATAAAACGGACAGTGAAGGTTTTTGTGAGGATCAGCGAAGCGAAACAAATCTTAAAGAAATTGAAAATTTACAAATTAAAAAGGAGTTGCAAAACAACAATAACAACAATAACAATGAAGATCATGTGGATAATGAAAATGTGAAAAATGCTTCGGAAACTTCGTTAGGAAAGAATAATGATGGTCAACAGCAACAGCAACAACAACAATTAAAATGTAATAAAATTATTTTATATAAAAGCGATGGAGGCTTAAGTATTAAAAAAGAACCAATGACGATGACATCACCGCCTTCCTTAAACAATCAGCCACAACAAGTAACAAACGATAATATAAGCGAGCGTTTAAGAAGAAGAACAAGCCGTAGTACAACGAATTGTACGAACGATGATCAATCATCCCAACAACAACAACAACAACAGCAGCACCAACAGCATCAACAGCAACAACAATCTAACAGCAGCCATAAAACTATATTAGTTAACGCCAAAACTGGTCAAGTTATCAGCAGGAATTAAATCGAGTTTCTTTTTAAATGTTTTTAATGCTTTAATTACTTTATTATTATTATAATAATAATTTGCTTTTATTATCATTATTTTTTTAAGTAATTTTAGTGGTTTTTTTTTTTTGTTTGTTGAATTTGTTTTTTGTTACTAATCTTAAAAATTTATATATATATATATATATATATATATATATATATATTACACAAAATATTTATTTTTTTTTTTTTTTTTGTTTACTAAACTATACAAGTGGTTATTAACTATATTAAGTGTTGGGTTTTTTTTTGTATTATTTTACTTATAAACAATAACAAGAAAATCCTAGAAGCAGCCAATTGGTTTAATAAAAAATTTTAAAGAATGTAATCAAAATGTATAAAAAACTGTGATGTTGAAAAAGCAAACAAATACAACAAAAAAGTCGCTTCTTTTTAATATTTAAAAAAGAAAATTAATTTAAAATATATTTTACTTTTTTTTTTGTTTTTTTTTAATTATTATTATTATTATTAATTCATTAAGATGAGTAGTAAAATAGTCATTTGTTTTTCCTTGTTTTTCACTGCTTTTAACATAACAAAAAAAAAAAGTTTGTATGTATGTAACAAATACTTCTTAAACTGGCTGAAAATCATTAGTTCATTATCGTTATACTGTTCGTTTGTTTATTGTGCACTTTTTTACATATTATATGAGAGTATGGAAAGTTCGTCAAAAGATTCGAAAATGTATTCGATGACTCGCAAAATGTACCGTGCAGGGACACGACCGTTTATTTCCAAAGTGGCTTATGTTAATTTTTTGTTTACATTTAAAGTAATTAGTTAGTGTTTATTTAAAATGTACATATTGCGCGAGTACGTTTAAAATTTTATGTATGTTTAAAAGAAAAGCGTATGCACCTTGACTTAGGTCACTCTAAAAGTGAACGGCTTGTAAATTCTTAAGCAGTTGGAATAATAGTAGCGCCTCAGTTTATAGTCTATGGTCGGATGTCTCGAACATCAAATGTGATCTCAGATATTTTCTCCTCTTCACGGCAGTGTACCCACGTAAAACAATTTGAGACACATATTTGCTTGGCTTTGTTTCGAGACTCAATTCTAGCGTATGTATTGTATCATCAACAACAGCGAGGCACAATTAGGAGAATTAAGGTTAGAAATAAGGCAGACACTCTTTACATTATCTTTATAAGTCTGGTAAGAGCTTTAGATAAATTTTCTACGGCGTTATTGTGTTAGCTCTTTCGATATGTCATATTTAACATATTGCTTTTCAAGTCAAATTAAATGACTTTGAAGTCTCGACTGCTCTCTAATCGGCATCGCCATGGAATGCATCAATACATTAGCTGTCCTACCTATTTCTCATCGAAAAAGTGCAAACAATATAAAAGGTGAAGATCGGTGAAGCCGTAACATGTACCCACTGGACTGCGGTCACTTTCTAACTTCTTCACTTTCTTCATTTTCTTCCACTTTTATGACATTTTCATCTTGAATGATTTCGAACATATTTTTTTAAGACGATTTCAACTTATACTTATTAAATTTGCCATGTCTAGTTGCCATTTTGAAAGTAACTCGTTTGTAACGTTGAAATATTAAAGTCTGACCGTCCAACCTTTATATGATAACGAATTTCGCAATCGCTAAAGTGAAGTTTCACCGTACACCCTAATACCAGTGGATTAAGGAACAAGTGTAAAAATGTAGGAGCAATAGGCAAGACAATGAGAAACAGCTCAAGAATTAGTGCATAATTAATTGGGGCTCTTTAAGCGACCGGAGTAAGAATGGTCCCTAAAAGTTTTTTGACACTTGCCTGCGAATAGAATCAAGGCCCGCATAGCTACCTTTCTCAGTAACACGGGTTGTCAAAACAATTCGGAACGAGTCGGAAATTTCGATGATAACACACATATTCAAGAAAAAAAATGAAATATCGATTCTGTATAACGATGTCCATTGGTCCATTGGAATTGATAGGCGAATGAGGCGAACAATTTGAATAGAAGAGCATTGCGACAACAGCTTTTCTAGGCTTTTTTTCTTAAATTTTTAACAAAAACGATCATCAAATGTTTTCGGGAACGATTTCCTTAAATCAAGCTAAGTTAAGTAAAAGAACTAAAAAGCTTTTTAAAGAAGATTCTCCCTCAACCAGTTTAAAAAGAATTTGTTTTAGACATATATATAGAGTTAAATTTCTATGAAGATAATTATTTAAATATATTTGTTTAATGTAGGCTATCTCTTTTTTTCATTGATTTCTATAAAATAGTTGCAGTTAACATTTATTGGAAATGAAAATGTAGTGCGTTAAGGGATTTTGTTTTTCTTCTTCTATTTTTATTTTTTGTTATTTTTTTTAAGGAATTATAAGTAAAAATTGTTTACTTATAACTCTTTGTATATAAAATATATCCCACCTTTATCCTGTTTTTCTTCTATTTTTTTTTTTTCGTTTCTTTTTTTTTATTAAAAACAATACACATATTTTTCACTTTAAACAAAAACATTTTTTCGATTTTATTGTTTCTAGTTTAAAGGTAAAGTAAATTGAATTTGATTACTTTTATAACTTATATTTGAAAATTTATTTTGCGCTTATCAATTCGATTACAAAAATATATTCGAACGAATATAATTATCAAATTATCAGTAATTATTTTCTAAATTTTTAACCATCATCTTTGACTGAAAATTATTCGTTTTCATGAAATTAAATCTTGAGGTCTTGTATAAGCTTACAATAATTTAGGTTTTTTTTTTTTATTTTAATGGTTTCCCTTGAGAAAAAAAAATTGAAAAGTTTATTTTTTTAAGATTTGTTATTGTATGTTTTTCTTCCTTTCAAATATTCTTCAACCAATTTTTACTTGAAAATTTTTCTAAAAATATTAAAATAATTGTAATAATAATAATGATAAACTTCTTGTAAATATTTAACAAACACATATAGAAAGAGAGAGAAAAAAAAAAAAAACAAAATCATTTAAAAAGCATGAACAAAACATATTTACATATAAATGAAGAAGTCTAACAAAATGCATACGGGAAATACTGGGGCCATATATATTTACATAAATTAATTAAATTCAAATGAAGTTAAAAAGAAAATAAATTAAAACTCTATTGAGAATGAATGTACAAAATAATGCTTGCGTTTGGCAAAAAAAAGCAAAACAAAAAATAAACATCTTATATATATATATATATATATATATATGCATGTATTTGGGCGTATGTATTAACACATGCGCGCTTACGTACACAAATAAGTACGGATGCGTGCATGTATTCACGCATGCATATATGTATGTATGCATGTATGTATGCAGTATGTACGTGTATATATATGTATATACTTGTGTACGTATGTATGTATGCGTGTAAAAAATTCAGAACAATTTTATTTCAATTATTTAACGTATAACTAGAGAGTGCAAATATTGTAATACAATGTAATTCCTTAGAACTTTCAAATTTAACGGAAATTCTCGGTATCATGTTAATATAATATACAGAAAAAAAAAAATAATAATAATTTCGCACTTGCACATATAAACGCACATAGTATTCTTTAATTATAGTTTTAAACCAAACGAAAACAATAAAAAAATCGCATAAATTACTTATATCATGTGAGTTTTTTTTTAATATTTTTTTTGATCAATGGTGTTCACCTAATTGAAAAGTCGCGCAAAGAAACATTAACAAAGCATGGCGTGAGCCATTCTTTTTAGGTTACTTATATCCACCATAAAAGGACGGATGGATGTACATTCATTTTGTTAAAACGTGTGCAAACACCCAGAAGCTAGGTTCGCAAATCTTATAGAATATATACATATATATATATTCTTAACCAGCCTGCTGTTGGTGTACGCTTTTTATTATGGAGCAAAGCCGATATAGAATTTTTTGAAAAATAATGCTATCAAATAATTTGTTGCGATGCTCTTACCTATTAGTTCGTGAGATAACGAGAAGTGTCTATAAAATCCTTTTGAAATATTTTATAATCAAATATTTGTTGCGATTTATTGAATCATTCTTTTTGTGAAATAATTTAAAATAAAATAGAAATGTTGAAGCAATCCTTGCAAACATGAAACTAAAGACATGTAAAAACCTGATCTCTGCTTCCAATTCATCGAAATATTCTAAGGAACGCTAACATGTCACTATGAACTGTACCAACATGCCCAAAGATAACAGCCGCTATGACGATAACAAGAGCCACACACATAAGTAATATTATCAAGAATCAAGAAAAGTAATATCAATATGAATGATAACATCTACAAATAATGGTAATTACGACGAAAGCAGGTGCAAGAGCGAGTTCAGCAGCAATAAGACAACTGAGGCCATCACTATCAGCGACAATAACAAATGTGTTACGAACAGAATTAACAGCGATAACCAACAAAGCAATGCAACAATAGCAATAATAGAAGTAATAATGACGTAGGCATCTTTATAAGTGCAGCCAACATGAAATAATACAGAATCCCACGGGATGAGCTTTTTCGAATTCGTATCGAAGAGTGATATCAACAATTACCGTAAGCACCTATCTATCCATATCTGAATTAATGTTTCCTACATTGCCGGCATTATTTTTCTATAACTAATAATGCTAACTAACTCTATTCTTAATTAACGTGTTTAGCAGCACACTGTAACTACACTTTTTTACATTAAATTTTCTAGCTCGTGTCGAGTCGACTGTTTATCTTCAATCTTTGTGTCACTATTGCCTTGAAATCTGATGCTGTTATATACATTATTGAACTCATTCCTTTTTTCGCATTTAGTTGCGCTGTCAATCTTAAATGGAGGACTTAGTTCAAGATAATTTTATCCATGACTTGTCTCCATCCTCATAATACATCTAAAGCGGCATCTAACCGACTTAATGTCTGCTGACTTTATGAATGCTTTACTCACGGCAAATGTACTACACTGGTTGCTCAAACAGATTTGTTAAATCGCAGTTGGACGTACTACACTTTACATCAACAAAAATTGCAAATTCTGGATATTTTAGCAGTTACTCGGTGCAATCATGTATTGCATAAGAACTGCGTTAATACTTACCTGACCCTAAGTCCGGTTGAAACAGTACAATCTGAACGCTGATCCAAGTCTTTCAACAGTATTCGTTGCCCTTGATGAGATTGACTTGTGGCAGGTTTAGATCGCAAGACCTAGCTCAAGGATGAACCATATACAAGTCCCAAGCAGTCCCGGTGCGCTTTTTGTGGAAATTTTCCTTGTAAAAGTATTCCTTCTATTTCCTCCACCATCCAAACATCATTCGTCTTAATCCCCTCATGCATGCTTTGCCTATTCATTCCTTTACCTCTTCCTAGTCTGCTTGTGTATGTTGTCTTAACTCCTCGGCGCCCTGCCGCGATATTCATTTTTCTTACGTCCGCAACCAATCGGGCGTATACATCAGCATTTGTCTTATTTCTTTCCTCCTGTTATCGGGACTGACGTAGAAACCGCATCTCGAGAAAAACAGTTTGTCTTTTTGGAATTGGTAATGGTCAATTCGATGAGCAATTTCAAATTTTTGTGTCCATTGAATATCTTGACTGCAGCCATTCGTAGGACATTTTCGCTATATGGTGTTATTGTGAAAGACTGTAAACTCATGAGAATAATTCTGGAACTACGCCGTCAAAGTTGAAAAAAAAACCGATATCTATATCTTAAATTTATTTTACACTCTACAAAAATGTAGAAGCTTTAAACAGGGAATTACAGGCCATATTCCGTTGACTATGAGCTCTACGGCTTGAGGTATCCTGAAACTTAGTTGAAGCTAGATGCGCTTAATTCTGTATTTTTCCAATTCCCATTCAAATATTTAGTGGAAAGGAGTGGATGGATAAGATGGAAGGCGGTGTCTTCATTGAGTCGCGCGTGATTTCCAATGGAATTATTATGAATCCTTAGCATCAGTCAATGTTGAGCTTGTTGATTTCCGATTTTTCAGCTGAGTGAGATTGTAGCTGCGTACACGCTTCTAGTAGCGTTTAACCCATACATTTCTTAGCACTTTAACGCGGAGATGAATCAGTGACCCCCATGTCACCTTGCAATAGATTGAAATTAATTAATTAATGCAATTCTAGATAAGAGCCTTCTTCAACTAAACGTATTGCGTATGTTTTGCTCCTCGGCTTCTTGTTCTTCACTTATCTTTTTCTTCACTTATCTTTATGATATCGAGCACAGTTTCTTTTTAAGGTTAGAATAAGAAATTTTAGAGTCCAATACTATTTACAAACTTAATTAAACAATTCCATATACAACTTATCAAAGGAAGCTTAAGGTGCGATTACAAAACAAGTTCATAAGAAGAAATTGTACACGAATGCATATGAATGTGTACACTGTAACTGATTAGATATTACTTATATAAAGTAAATTACTAAAAAATGGGTAGAGTTTATTGCAATGAAGTTGAAAAAGAACGTTGAAGCATGTGGCATTTTGCAAGTTACGATAGGTTAAGTAAGTTTAGAAGAGTTTTTCCATGTAGGAGCAACACATCGGCTCGTGTGTGTAGTTGTCGGCTAGCTTGTCACCAAGCCCAATATATGGAACTATTACATAAAGATTCATCTAGAACAAGTTCGCCTGGCCCTGGTAAACAGCAAAAGAGACAGACCCGAATAAACGCACAAAGAACCAAAATTTCCAAATTAGAAAGGTGAAAGTTCCTCCGTTTATGTTTATGTTTTCGCAATTTGAAAGCAAACCGCCCAGCTCGTCAAGATAACAAAATTATCAGAATTGAAAATCATCACGGGCAGATTTGAAACAATTAACACCGCGAGTAACCATTTCTTGCGAAATTTTAATTATTGGTTATCGAAGTTTCTGCTTTAGCGTGCCCTGCTTTTATAAAACTGAGTTCGTTTCTATGACTTGCCCATAGCCTGCCAACGGAGTTAGACTTATGAACCCTAGCGCATGAACCGGAAGCCACCGAACGTGTTAGAAAAGCCAAATGCTCAAGTGCTCCTTGGTATTTAACGACAGCGCAATTGTTTTGGAGCGAGATTATCAAAAGATTAGCGAAAGCGTATCTGGTTTAAACAATAGAAATACGAGCCCTGAGCGCCCTCTACAACATTAGACCGAATTAGTTCCTAGCAGGAAAATTCCAGGACTTTTCGACGCAAACGATTATTTTTTTTCTTTCGGGATACCTTACACGCGGACTAAATGCTTTGACTATTACTTCTTCCTCTTTTTCTAAAAACCAGCAATTCATCGACAGATGATTCACTATGCTAGCTCGAAAATCACAAATCACTTTTTTTATGCGGGGAAAACACATATGTTATATTATGTAAATTTACTTTATTCATTTTCCTTCTTTTTTTTTTAATCAGGGCCTAGTGACTGTCACTTCTATAACATTATTTTACCATAACAACAACAGTGATTTTTCATCATTATCATCCTAACAGCTCTACGTTTACAAGCGAGTGTTGTGCAATTTTAAAACCATTAGCCTTGCTGTCATACAAATGTAAAGAAAATTTCGGATAGTAAGTAAGTCGTTCTTACTAGCTCTACAATCGTTCCCAATGCGTCATCCACATGTACTAGAGATTAGATCTCTGTTATCCAGTCTAAAATCCAAAGTTTTCAATTTTCGTTTTCTCTGGGTATTTAGTCACAATGGCGTTCAGGGGAACACTTGTGCTTGTAAATTAAAATTCTCCAAAGAAATGAATACCTGCGATCGTACCCTTTAATTTCTCCCCAATATAAAGGCTTTCGACAAACATTTCAATTCGTGGTCGCCATTTTCTCGCCCAGGCAAAGAACTTTATATTCACACTGAGTCCTTTTTTTTACAACGCATCGAATCATCTGTTGTTGGCTCGCCGAACATAGAAGAAGAATCTTTTAAATGTAAAAAAAATTCAATATTATCGTTTTTTGTAAATGAGAAAAAATTTTGAAACTGAAAATATATAGAAAAAATTTAGCAAAAAGAATAACAATTTAAGCAAATCACAATTTCTTAGCGATAATTGGCATAAACTACGCGCAAACTGTTGGTTAGAAGAAGTTAAAGAAAGAAAGGGAATTTTTGGCGAATGGGGAAGGAAAACGAAATTGAAGATTTAGCCGGAACTAATATTTTTGAGCACACATTACAACAAGATTGTAAAATGGATGCCAATTCAGATGAAGACAAGGCAAAATTGACTGAGATGAGTGGCATTAATGCAGTAGCCACAGAGGCTAGAAAATCGTCTCTTAAGTTCTTTAAAGCAAACGGTACAATAATTAGTTCTATATTCTCTCGAGAAGAAAACAATATCAGTGGTAATAGCAACAGCATTAGCAATTCTGTTAAAGGGGGGCGTAATTACGACTTGAAAGGTTCAGGTCTTCACAAAAACCCAATAAAAGTTGACCAGAATTTTCTGGCAAACGGCTTGAAAACTTTAATTCTTGGTTCAAATAAATCGGCAACAACATCGATTAATAATGAGCAACCGGGGCCCTCGCATTGTAAATCGACGACTAAAATCAACAAAACATTATGCCGCTCCGAATGGACTCACGATGCCAATCATTATCAGCCTAGGAAGCGTTTACATTCTGACGATAGTTACGATGAATGTTTACCGAAAAGGAAAATCAGATTACAGTTGACTGGCAAGAATCTCAACGTTAACGCAAAATCCTCCGACAGCGATTCAACAGACGGAGAAGTTGATGAAAGCGATGAAGAAGCAGAAAAAATTGATGTTGAAAGCACACTCCTGCCTTCGGAAGAGTTGAATAATAATTTACTAACCGCAAGTAATACGGGAATATTAGAAGGCGAAGAGTTTGCATCAGAAGAAGAAGTAATGGACGAGCTAGAAGAGGAAGAAGGAATAGGATTTATACCCGAAAATAATCATGAGTACATATTAGAAAATAGAGAATTAAATGGCGAGGTGAGTATCTAAGCGAAAGTAATTTAAAAAATCGAATTTTTTCGTTATTGTGAATTGTTTTTGCTTTCATGTGTTCTTCCTTATTACGTTATGTGGGCAAAGATGTTTGGTCTTATAAACCTGAAGATTTTATTAAAAAAAAAAAAAAACAAATAATAATTCAGGATAAATTCAACCGTTACGTTTTTCAAGTGGGTATCAGGGTGCAAAGGTTTAACTTACCTTTTAATATTTTTTTTTTTTTTTTGCTTTTAATCTTTTTTTTTTTTAATATTTTCAATGATTTTCACTCCTTTGATGTCTTTAATTTTCATTTGAATATGATAATTATTTGCTTTTATTATACTACAAAATTAAAGATTTTTTGTTTATTAAATTTATTTCCTGTTAGTAGTTTCAAAAATGTAGTTTATCCTATTTCCTAGCACTCATCCTGCTTTTGAGTCTTAGAATTTATGTCTGTGTTCTAAGTAAATTATAATCATAATTATAATAATGAAAATAATACCGTATATTCTAAAGAAGGCCAAGTAAGATCATAAAAAACAAAGCTTTTTCGTTTTCGAGGTCACCAAGTGTTTATAAAGTCGTGTTGGGATTTTTATACGCTACACCATTCGTGATATAAGAGAATATTAAGTTTTCGCGGATCTATGCTAAAGCCATAAGGACTTGTGGTAGACATGCCGATCGATACAGAAAGTCGATCTAAGCTCGCCTGTCCGTTCGTCTGCCAATCTTGTATTCAACCCGGAGGTCATAAATTTTCGAGCTTTTTTTTTAAATAAAACTTGCGCAGTGTTTTTCTTAATCTTAACTCATTTTAATTTAATAAATACAACTAAAAACAAATATCAATATGAATATTACCTGTTATATCATTCTAGCAGGAAAACGATCATTTCTTTTTCATTCTTACATCTCTTTGCTGTCAATATTGAAATTTGTTAAAAAAAAAAAAAAAACGGTATTTTCTTATTTGACTGACAATGTGTATTAGAAGGTTGAGTAAAGACTGATATGAACAGCCGTTACTTTGCAAGGTATATTCGATATATTTATTTTCAGTCTTTTATTCATTTTAAGTAGTTTTTAACTAATATAATTAAAATATGTAATTGATTTATTAAAATTTATGTAAACTTAATATTAAAAGTATACCGAAGCCATCGAAATAAAGGTTTTAAAATTTCAAGCTTTGAAAAACAGTTTTTTGAAGGAGACGTAATGCCTTACGTCACGATGAAAATAGATTTTTTTGATAGTTTTTAACCTTGTCTGGAAGATATCAAAAAAACCGGACTCTGCTTACTCTCTCGGACGTAAGTAATATAAGATTTTCTCAATATATACCCTTTTTCTCAATATATGCCACTGTTTGTATCTCTAGTCTTCGCAACACTACTACATGTTGTTGGATGCTATTTGAAATTTCCATTGATAGGTTTAGCATTTTTAACTATGACCTTCATCAGAACAATTCCTGATTTGAGAGCAATTTGCGTTATTTGTTGTGACTTAAAAATTGTGCCTCAACGAAAAAATGCAATTATCTCGCGAAAGCTTCCATGCAACGATTTTTAATAGCTTTCGCCAACTTTGCTTATACCGATCGATTTAGGAGGTAATTCTGAAATAATCAAAGGTGACGTCATCTCAAGTTCGTCTGGTTGTTGCATACACTGGCACAAACATGTACTGTAAGTGGCGTAGGACATAAGAAACGCCGTAACAATCTAACAAAAAAAAGAAAGGAAAAACTAGAAATGATTGAGAAAAAAAGTGACAAAGCGAAACAAGAAGCAAAGCCGCTCGAGCTGCCACCGCTGGCAAAAATAATAGCAAAATACTTCCTATAAATATTTAATAACATATAAGAAAAACCATCTAAAAATCTTCAACTAACGTATTTACATCTAAATGAAAGACTGATAAATGAATTAAACCACACATGCAGAAAATAGTGGCGCCATATATGTTTACATAGAGTGATTAAATTCATATACAAGTAAGAAGAAAATAAATGAAAACTCTGTTGAGAATGAATGCTTGTGAACAAACAAAAACTTGTACGTATGTACATATATATCTGTACATATGTATACGAAAATATAGATAAATTCATAAACAATTATTTGGAGGACAACGCAAGGTTTTTCATTAAAAATTTCAAAAGTAAGAAAAAATCTCAATATCTTGTAACCTTTTTTTTGGTTTGTTGAAGTCGGTTGGAGAAAGGCCTTTGACTTCTAGTCCTCTATAGAAAATCAGATTACCTGCAAAACGGGTTCAAGATCTTTACGCTGGTTTTTTTGTAGACACTAAAAGCAAAACAAGATATATTTTTTGTTGTGAAAATATCCGAAATGCGTTTGAGTTTATTTTATTAAATGAAATGGTATTTTAGAAAATTAAATGGAAATGGAATTGTTTGAAAATTATATAACTCGAAATTTATGTGAGTCGATTGGTGATTAAAATTTATACAATATATATTCGCTTGGTTACTGCCGCGCCTTAACTCGCCGACTTTTTTGCCATTTTCTGTATCGAAGATTCGTATTAAAGTACCTTTTTCGCTGGCAGTAGCTAAACGAGTGCCCTGCAGGTTCAAAGCGATGCAACTTATGGCTGCCTCATGGGCAATTCGATAGCTGCGCGTATATATTCCCAATAATTTGTATACAAATTCCAAACAATTGTTGTTTCATTTAAACTATCTTCAGTAGCTTGAACAAGTAGCGATTGATTCGAAGATAGATTTTTAATTTGCTTTCGTTTGACATTGAAAGGAATGTTGAGTTTAACCAGTTATCGTATTGCCAAATCGGTTGAGAAAGTAGAGGCAGTTTTGACTGGGAAGATTGAAAGTTGTTAGTATAGAAAAATAAACTGAGAAAAAAACTTTATTAGAACGAGAAGTCGACGGTTGCGATAAAGGTAGTTGTTTCCTTAAGATGAGCATAATTGAGCATGATGAGCACGAAGGATATCATAAAGACTATAGTAAGTATAGGAAAATTCAAAAGACCCCCGATGATCAAATTTTTTGGATTTGAACTCTTTATTTAATACAAATTTGCTTCTTATATACTTTAGAAATTTTTACAAGATGACCTGCGATCAACGTAAACTGTTTACAGTTTGATAAAACTTTGGTATCTCGCAAGTGATTCCCCGTCCGCGACGAAGACGAAAGTTGATATTCATTTTCATCCGCTTTTGTCTTTGCCGTTCACAATGAACTCCTACCCTGTTGTACGTGATTTGCTTCGAGAGCAAATATATGATGTATGGGAGCTCCCCAGAACAACTACTACAAATGGGACGAGAAGAGGGGATCGTTCCACGCGGATATCCTAGAGTTGACCATGGAAAAGACCGTTTCCTTTTTCGGCAAATTGCACGTGACTTCGGTAGTGACATATCAGCAGAAATTGAATTAGTAAAGTATTTATGATATATTAATGTATGAATTTCTATTATTAAATGTATTAATAAAATAAAAATAATCAATCTGATAACAAATAGTGACTGCCAATTTCGCATATATATTGGTTTTTATTTCTTCACTTTATAGTGTCAAAGGGAAAATCTCTATAAAAACTTTCACATTGTCGTCCAAATTTGATATGAGTGCAGGGAAATTTAAATATTGTATGTAATTTTAATTCAACCCAGTAAAGTTCTGGTTTATTGACAATTTTGCTATTATGTCAAAGGATGGAAAATGATGATGAGATGTATTCTGTGTAATGTTTACAAACTTGTTACTATTACTTGGTAATATGTCGCTTATCTTCCGTAAATGAAAACATTTTACATTTCTTAACACTTTATTTTACAAACTCTTTTTTAAATTTTTTTTTTACGTTTATTTTATGAATGCAATCGTTTTCGCTACATTGACTCTATTTTGCTTTCGTCTGAAGTTATCTAATTCCACGAGGATGCTTGGGGTTTATCATGCTTTACGTAAAGCAAAAAATAAAAAAAAAAAGTATAATTAAAAGAAGGTGTTAACTGACTGTCGTCTGCACAATTTTAATTTTATAAAATGAAGTATTTACATTTTTGCAAACGTGTCCCACCAAAACTACTTGTATTGTTATCTCACCTCTCAAGTGTTACGTCAAGATTTCTATGTGTTAGTAGTTTTCTTTTCGCTTAGTAAGCGGGGTAAGAAAATAACGTAAATCTTCAGATTCTTAAAATTTTCTTAACATTATTACGAAAATCTTATCATGGTTTAATGACTTTTTATGAAATACAACCCTGCAATAAATCATTGTGTTATATTATATCGTAATAGAGTTGCATACTATTTTGACTTCACGTTCATCAGCTGTTTGCGAACGTTTCAAACGTAAAAAAATTCATTTTGCGTTAGTTTTTTTTTCTTCTAAAATAGTTGCCCGACAAAAATCCTGAAACTGAAAGCAATATTGGAAAATTCTGACAAAAATAATAAAAATTTTAATAAACCATAAAGTGCATTACATACATAATATATAATTTGAACACGACAGATTGTGAGCAAAATTTGTTAACACGCAACTAACTGCTTGCTGGTGTCTCGGTAATCGAGCATTCGAAGTCGATCAAAGGCAAACTGTTAATTTTTGTCAAATGGAGAGCAAAAACGAGGATTCGGGCGGCAGTGACTCTTTGGATAAAACTTTGCAACAAAAATGTAAAATGGACGATGTTGGGCAAGGAGAAGGTAAAGCAGAATTGACGGCCGATAGCGGTGGCGACGGTGCGAATGTAAGAGATAAGCCGAAAGAAAACGAATTGGTCCAATGTGAGCAACAACAGAATTCCTCCTCTAAACCACAAAAGACTGAGACTTATCTAATGGGTGATGGCATTAATGCAGCGGCCACTGAGGCCAGAGAATCTTCTCTGAGGTACTTCAAGGCTAGCAGTACAATAAGTAATACAATATTCTCACGGGAGGATAGCGACAGCAGTAGTAGTAGCAATAGTGTTAATAACTCCATTAATAGCAGCAGCAATAGCGGCAGCAGCCATAAAATCAAATGTACGGGTTCTCATAATATAGAAACAAAAGTTAAACAGATTTCTCAAAATTTGCAAGAAACCAGTCTGGAAACACTGTTCCCAGCTTTAGGTGGGGACAAATCTACAACAACAAAGCTATCGACCGAAGAAAATCCAATCATCACCCCATCAATAACATCAACCGGTACGTCTTCAGATGCTTTGCCAGGTTCAAGTACGTCGTCAACCGCTGTATTAGACAATGAGCAACCAGGACCTTCACGTTCTAATTCAGCCACTAATTCCGACAGTACGCTGTCGCATTCTGAATTGGATTCAAGTTCTTTAGCTGCCAATGATTCTATGGAAGACGCCAGTGACCATCGGTCTAAGAAGGTGCGTTTTCATCCCGACGCTAAAGAAAACGATGGCGGCAATAGAATTATACCCAAAAAGAAAAAGAAAATCAAATTGCAGCCGACTGATGAGAGTCCCAGCGTTAGTGCAAAGGTGTCAGGCAGCGATTCAACTGACATGGAATTCGATGAAAGCGGTGAAGAAGAAATGTACGAAGAAGAAGAGGAATTCGATGTAGAAAAAACGATAGCGGAGTCTGAAAATTATTTAAAACTACATCCTATAACGTTCGTACCCTCGCCAGCGCTAAATACATCCACAAGAGTACCTAGTAGCACAGGAATAATGAAGGAAGAAGACCTCCAATCAGACGAAAAAATAAATGATCAGTTAGAAGAGGAAACCGAGCTAGAAGCTGCTGCCGAAAATGGCGTCGAATGCATATTAGGAAAAAAAACCATAAATGGAGAGGTGAGTAGTTAAAGAAACGGGAAGAAAGTTGCAAATATATACTCTTGCACTTATATTTATAAGTGTTCTTTTGTTTTAAAGTGCTCTTACTTATTACGCTATGTGGATAAGGCTGGCTCGTATTGGGAACCTGAAGATTTTATAAATAAAAACTGCCCAAAATTGCTCAACAAATACGAGGAGAGTCAACAAATCCAACAGGATCGTTTAGTAAGTGGAAATATCAAATTGAATTGGAAAATTTTTCCAACTTTTTTTTTTTCTTTTTGTTTTAGATGTGTTATGTTGCCCAACGTCAAAATTTACGTCAAGGTTACACTGACTTTTAAAAGTGCATTTCTGTAGAGAGTATTCATAAAGAAGTCATACGAAAAAAGTTGAGTATTGAAATTTAAAAACCAAGATTTAAGTTATCTGGAATGAAATCAAAAGATTTTCTATTTAAAATACCTTTCCAATTTTACTGGTTATAACTGAAATCTTGTTCTTGTATAAATTCTTAGAACTGCAATCTCCACAATAATTGAAATAATTTGTAATCTTTGATTATGTTAAAAATGAACACGCATTGGCAAAATATTCATCAAATATTTAATTATTAAGGAGCATAATGTAAGCGGCTTATTTTTTTGTAATATTTTTTGCCTAAAAGTAAAGAATTGAACAACCTTAAATATAATTTATTTGATAAGTTTTTTCTATATAATTTGAATAAAAACCATTAAATGGTGGATTGCTTTTTTTAAGTTTGCAAGTCGGGAACAAAAAATATAAAACATGTATGTATGTACATTCTTACAAGTTATTAATATGAGCGATAATTCAGTTTTCCGTTTGCAATCGAATAGTTATGTTTACAGAATTTTGATTTGTAAAAGTTGAGAAATAATCTTTCAATAAGAGATTTTTATTTCAATTTGAAGAGCAAACCAAGATTAGTGGTCCTGACCGTCTTAGACGATGGGCAAAGCTTGCTTTTCAAATGAAACCTTAGTTATGACGGCTGTGTCAACTGAATTGGCCGAAGATCAGTAAGTTGACCCGTGCCAGAAACCCCACTATATGCACTATTGCACGTGTAAATCGTTCCGTATATGAAAATCCTTGTTGTACTTTTGATACGTAGCCGCATTCGGCCCAAAAAAAAAATATTAAAATGTTACCCCTTGTTGAAAGTATATGCAAACATATGCCTCCAATGAGAAATATGGAATAACTTTGCTGTCTCAATACCCATAACACCCATGTATGGAGTATTAATAAGTAACATAGGAAAACGAGTAATTTTCGCTATTTTTCTTTACATATCAAAACCCAATGTTTAATTTTAATTTAACAATTCAAGGGAAAATTTTGTTTACATGACCACTGTCGTGACGCAGAATTAGCTGAATTTATAGGAATATTACATTTAAAGTAAAATCTTTTTTCTTATATTTAGAATTTGGGCTTTTTGTCCTTTTTACAACTGATATGATCATCATAAATGCTTGTATGTGATGGTTCGCCATTTCATTAAGAATGTCGCTTAATCGTAAGTTATTGACTTATGGCTAAAAAAAGCTTTATAAAACCAACGACACGAACAGTAATACCATAAATTATGTCTTATGTCTCAATAGATCGGATACTGTTGTGATACTTAAGAAATCTAAACAATTTTCTTGCCGAATGCTGCTGCACCAAGTCTATATTTATTTATTGGCTTGCGACATACACTATGGAAATGCTACGGAACCGAGAAAAGGAAAATGAAAAGAAGTCATTACCAACTAATGTGCTTAGGAATCTATATAAATATTCAATGATTCCTAATAAAAAATGCACATTTTTTTTTAAGAACGTATATTTTTAACTTTTGAAAAATATTTCAATATACACCAAATTTACTTATTTAAGTACATGATTGCATATGTTTCTTCTCTGCAAAGGTTTGTGAGAACGCGACGTCATGTCAGGAAACGATGGACAAAATCAGTGCCCATACAAATAATGAAAACATAAGCGTAAACATACAAACGACTGCTAATTAACATCGTTACTACTTACTATTATATTATTGATAACAGATGCACAAAAAGTCCCTAAGAATCTTCTTATCTTAATTTTGAACAAGATGTTGGCAAATCTATGTAGTTCGTTGTCTCTGCTTTTGGTACTCTCAAAAGAAAGCAGTAGAAACAGTGGGGCTCCCATGCAAATCCTAAAACTAAAAATTGGTGAATTTTACCACGAAATTAAAGAAAGAATTGTACCAACCAAAGTGGGAAGTAGGATATCTACTTTAAGACAATTAGGGTTAATAATAAGAATTTTGTCTATGGGTTATATAAAATTAGCATTTTTTCATTTATTAACTCATGCTTTATTTAAAGCTTTATTTTTTATATGTGCAACGGCAATTATTCATAATATAAATAATAATTAAGATATTCGTTTAATAGGAAGATTATGAATTTCTATACCTTTAACTTCTTGTTTTAATATTGCTAATTTAGCTTTATGTGGAATGCCTTTTTTAGCAGGATTTTATTCTAAAGATATAACTAGATATAACTAGAGAATTAAATTTTTTTTCAATAAATTATTTAAGTGATGAAGGGTGAATTAGGGGTTCTTGTTGCGTTGTCGTTGTTTCAATACGTGCGTGTGATATGTGTGTGTTTTAAATGCAATCTTATTGAAATTTGATTTCTTATTAAATAATGGTCTTACTACACATTGATATTTAAATGCTTTTGCACTTTAATTTGTATTAATGACGCTTGCATAGATTTGTATTCATTATAATATCTTTATATCTCATCCTGATTTTGATAAAAGGTGTTGGCCTCATATTTATAACAATGCGTTTAAATCCGTTACTAATATTTGGCATAACGATATCTCGAATTTTTAAATTTAATTGATTTGCAGTTACCCATCGGAAGCTTCAATGTACCCGAACGATTAAAACGGGCGTATCTTACTTCGAGTTACAAGAAAGACATGTTGCTAAACATTGAATATATATTCCCGACTCTTAAAGAAGAATTAAACATAAGTAACTACGTGAGTCGCTTTCGAACACTCTTATATTGGGAAGAGATGTGAGAGAGACTGTTTTGTCAATTTTCGAATGTATGACCGTGAACGAGCGCATTTCACACGTGAGAAAGAATATTTAGCTCTGAACATAGAAAATGAAAAGCTTTCCGAATGTCGTCCTTCGTTGGTAATTGGAGGCATTATCGAAGCGAAAGACCCCTATGTCGAAACTGAAAATGCCGAACACACATATGAAGGAGTGATTCACAAGGTGCTTTTCAATCGCATTCTGCTTAAATTCGATTCGTATATATACACTTATGTACACGCCATACATAGCTCATATGCACAATTGTACATGCTTTGGCTTTGTAAACGTTTGTTACAGTGTGAGATCCGATTCTTCTTCCTTGTCTTCGTCGCTTTTGCTCTTCTTCATTTGCTGCAGCTTTAGAAAATTGTAAAGAAATTCCAATTCATATTTTCTTTATAAACAGCTGTCGCATGTATTTTGTATTTTCTCAGATGGTTGGAATTTGTATACAAATCTCGCATCGATGGCATTTTTACACAGATCTGTTGAATAATTGAGAACGAATATGCGCTTATTGTCGAAATACATGCAAAATTCTTGATAATTGTATACGCTTATTGTCGAAAGGCGCACAATACATGTAAAGAAATTTATTCAAACATTCTCAATTGTATGGAATTTGTATTTTCTCAGATGGTTGGAATTTGTATACTAATCTCGCATTTAGATTTTTAATCAGTGTTCAACGTCTTTGCTGGGCTATAGTACTTTCGCTCGTACTACGAAAGATCGGAATTTTCTTGTGTAATGCTCGTATGTATGTACTAGAAAAACGCAAACATGCGAAAATGTTTAAGTTTGACGTTAACAATGAATTGATACTGACTTCCATTTGTTTTACAAACCCACACTTCCCTATGTTGTAACTCACCATATTTCACAACATAGGAAATTTTTTCGTCGTTTCCTTTTTTTTAATCCATTTTACAACTGATATTTCGCCCCTTTTTGAAACATTCGTAATCTTTTCAAAGTTTTCGAAGCTCTTGTTGTCAAAGCTCAATTACTTTGCAATTTCAGGTAAAGGTTTACATGAATTTTCTTTCTCTCCAAAATTTTCTCATTGCAAGGCAAAGTTCTTTATCGTCAAAATTAAAAATGATTATTTTTATTAATTTTAGTATAAACCAATTTTATCAATTTTATCATATTATTAGCGTCACAGCCTGTAATAAAAATTTCAAGTATTTTCTTTTAAAAATCACAGCAATAAACGAAATTTAATACGATTAGCATTACGGAAAACGAGATTATTTGCTGGACTTAAAGCATAAAGGACTGGAAATGTCGGAGTTCAAGTATGCCTATAATATTCCTACAAAGATAAGTTATACATAAGCTCACAGTTTTGGTAAACCTGACGTGTATTCTTCTCTGCAACATAAAGAGAAGCATAAAGACGACCGTAAAGTAAGGATAAGTAATATAGCTTAAGAAAGTATGTACAGTACTTCCTAAAGGAGTTGCAGTCATTTAAACACTCAAACAAACAATTATCTTTTGCAGGTTGTGTAAATATCAGTACCTGAAAATGAGAATAGAGGAATTTGTATCGATTGTATTGTATTGTATTAAAACAAACGGTCATTAAGAGTTTTGCTGTTTTAAGCATGTTTAGTTCATGTTTCCTTTGGCAAATATGCAAAGCATAAATATGAATTAATAAAGTCAGCGTTTATACCCACATTTGTTTATTAGTCTTTTGTATGTGAAGGGTAGCCGTTGCATTTTCTTCTAGTCGATTAAAATGTTAAGTGATACATTTTAATTGTATGTATGCCAAATGTAGCCCCAGTTATGAATTTTTTGTGCGGTAAATTTGATGACCAAATGATTTTTCAAAAGTTAATGCAGAATCGCTGGTCTATGAAGCAAAACAGGAAAACATGACAGGGCAGCGCACGATTGACAGAAAAAGGAATCACAGTTAATTACATTAAAACAATTCATATGAACAAATCGACTTTAATTCCCATGTTTGCCAATCAAGCACTGCCTAATTTTCTTATACTTTGACACGCAGCCTAAAACAGTCGCTGATATTATTTTTCAGTAATATATGGCATAATTCTTATCGTTAAAAAAAAGTTTTATATATTTTCTACATCACTTAAAGGGGCAATCGGTCGACTTTTTTTGCAAAACGGCTTCGTTACGTCACACAGTACCTGAACGTAAATCCCTCTCTAATGAATAGGCCCAAAAATTGCAATTTTTTAAAATAGCAAAGTTTGGGTTCTCTTATAGAAAACAAGAGACGTATTTGTGTAGAAAACAGAGATTTTCAGATTAGTAGTAGTAGTAGTATTATAAATAGTAGTATTTATAATACAGTATTGTAGTATTATTTATTATGCCTTAATAGTTCCTTTTATTTCTACATTTTCAATTTATGATATAAGTACAAAAAATTATTATCAATCATACAACGCACAATCTTAATAATTTCCGTAGATAAATTTCGAAACTTGGCAACTCTGTCTTTCAATCGCACGTCGTTCGCTTCTCTGCGCTTACGTGAAAAAAGATTATTTCAATTATTTGCAGATTTAAGAATAAAGTATGTTGTAAATATGTGAAAGCCTTTTCATAAAATAGTTCTAAATGTATTCTTTTTCTCACCTTTTTTTAGTACATAAATTATTTCGCGATTGCCTTAGATCAACTTTATTCCGCTTTTATTGTAGGTTGAAGAGTTTGCTTTGGCGTCCCTCTATACATTAACAGAGATTTTAACTAGTGTGAAAATTACTTGGAAAATAAAAAATGAAGTCGAAGAAGACTGAAGTTGAGGCTGCTTCAGATAATGCTACATCAGAAGAAGAGGAGGAATACGCAGTGGAAAGAATTTGCGGTCGCAGAGTACGCAAAGGAAAAGTTAGTTTATATTTATAAGAAAATTTTTGGGGTGTACGTATTTCTTTCTAAATGGATGTGATTTTTTAGATTGAATATTTTCTTAAATGGAAGGGGTACTCAGAATCCGAAAATACTTGGGAACCGGAGGAAAATTTAGATTGTCAGGACCTAATAAAGCAGTATGAAGAAGAGAGAGCCAAAGACGAGGTAAGTTAGTAAGCGTGGAAAACGCTATATTTGGCGGGAGTTTCGTAAATAAGGGTACAGCGGGAATAAATGGACTTATAAGAAAAAGATTTCATTTTTATTGGGAGTGGATTTTTATTTCTTGAAATTAGGACATAAACACAATGACCTTAGACTTTGGGAAATAATTATTTATCAGGAGTGGCACAATTTTTTTTTTTTACTTGCAATTGCAAGATATGTCGGAGGTTTTCTTAAACATGCTTATATAAATATATAGAAAGATAGATATAGCATAGTATAGATATTTCGAGCTCACTTAGATGTACCTAACCGGCTTTGCGTTCGCGTTATTTCCAAAGTACTCGAATTTGAGATAATTAAGGGTTGACAAGCACAGAATGTGGGTATAGTCTTTTCAACTTCGGCAATTTATTGCGAAAGCGAATGTTAAGTAAATTATTATTTATATTTATATCCTTACACCACCTCTTGTACAGAGGTATATTAAGTTTGTGCGAATGTACGCTATGCTCAGAATGATTTGAAATACACCCATCTTTCATTACATCGGTCGATTTGCAATTATTTTCTAAGTCTTACGTATCCATTCGTCCGCTTATCTAGCTTGTTTTCTTGTGCTCTTTCTACAGGCCATAAAGTTTGGGATATTTTTTTTATTACATGTGGTGCTCTCACGTGTTTTTAAAATTGTATTAGCTCTAATTTGGGGCTTAGTAGAAAGCCTATTATCAGATTTTCTAGACAGTCTTATATTGGAAATTATACATATATATATATATATATATATATATATATGCAATATATACACTCAATTAACTATTGTTACTCTTTTCCTTTTCATTGTCATTTATAAAAATTGTTGTAATTTTTTGTTATTCTTGCATATATTTAGGCAACCAGTACTAAAACTGAGAAGTCTGAAAAGCTTAAAAAGGAAAAGGATAGTGGACGTTCTAGTTCCGCAAGCAACAAACGTAAGAATGAGACGGAGACAAAAGCTGCAGGTATGGATTCTTTCGTGTTTGAAAAAAAAGTTGCAAAAACGAGTTTTTTAACTTTTTCCCTCTTTTTTTAGTTACCACCAAAAAAAAACGTACAGATTCAGCTAACCCGGAAACAGATACGGAATCTGTTTCAGAAGCGTCTTCGAGACAATCGGAACTAACTGGCTTTGATAAGGGGCTAGAAGCGGAGAACATACTAGGTGCCTCAGATTCAAATGGTGGCCTCTATTTTCTTATACAATTCAAAGGAGTCGATCAAGCCGAAATGGTTCCTGCTTCGGTTGCAAACATCAAAATACCGCAAATGGTTATTAGATTCTATGAAGAACGCCTCTCATGGTATTCTGATAACGAGGAATAATTTCCATCTCGGGCTATAAAATTTTGGATTTTGTCCCAAGTTTTAAGTTTAAAACAACAAAATTTTCTTTTTTATGATTTCCATTTTTAATGTTTTCTAATTCCCAAAAAAAAAAAAAAATCGGAATCCTATAAAATGTAGTTATGAGATTGGAGAAAAAACGCAGCTTATCGAGTTGCTTTACTATAATATTTATACATTTGAACACATTTCATTACAAAATCTAAATGATTCTGTTACAACATTAAACTATTGCATACGGGGGTATTTCCTTATCGAAAGAAATAAGTAAATTAAATTGTTAAAGCGGATAATTTCCTGCTTTGCTAATAATGTGTTCTTTGCCATTTTCGAATTACGGAAGATTAACAAAAAAAAATGATATCTTCCAATGGTAAGTTGCGGTGTACTAATTTCATCATTTCCATTATGACAGCAATATAGCTAAACCTATGCGGTTGAGTCCATTTTAATCGATGTAGACGTAGCCATCTCAGCTTCTCAAAGATTTACTAAGACCGGAAAGTCTGACGTTAATTGACAAAAATTGAAATTCAAACATTTTAATAGTTTAATTTACATATTTATATATGCAGAATTCGCAAGTGAGTTGAAATCGACTAATGGGCCCAGTCGTTCATACTGGCAAAATTTTCAAGGGGACTAGCTTTTGTAAACTTTGTCGAAAATATTTTTTTTTATTAGCTTTCATCCGGACGAAATTTTTTGACCTTTCCCTGAAGCGCTCGGAAGGATTACTCGCTTCGAATGACCAATCATTCAGGGAATGTCCCTTATTGTGAAGGTGAGAAAATAGTCAGGCAAGAGGAGGTGGTCGAACATTATTAGGTGTGTATGTTTCGTGTAAATGTTTCTACTGCAGTTGAGATTTGCACCCGAGACCACCTTCTTTTTATCCCTTCACAAATCGTTTCTATTCAATTGTCGTCTCTTATACTGATATTAACATGCTATCATATTTCTCTAAGCAATTTAATATTGTTGTTGTGAAAGATTTATAATACTTTACCTGCTCGGTTCTAACTCTCCAAATAAGTCAACAGATGTTTTTTGATAGTGGATATATTCGTTTAAAAGTATCTCCCAGTAAAAATATTTTACCATAGCTTGGCTGTTGGATGTCACTTTGCCAATAAATTATTTAGGAGGCAGTGTTTGTTTGCTAATTATGAATTCGGCTATAGAATTTGACACTCGCGATTATATCTTTGACAGATGCGCAAACAACAGAAGTGCATTTTCTAGCAAAAAAAAATCTTCGCGGAGAAGGAACGATGGAGAATATTTTGACTAGGAAAGGCAGTTTTATAGTTGTGGGACTGTAAAATAATGATAAAAATGGATAAGAAGTTTATTAGATCATCCGGGAATCGGTTTACGGTTCTTGTGATCGAGCAAACTTGACATCTTATCTAGGTTCTCTAGGATAGTGCTGTCTAACGATTTAAGTCGTTAAAGAAAATTGGGCTGATGGTATTCGATAGCGTACAAATGTTTTCTCAGAGGAATTTTGCAAATAAAGTGTTGTATGGGGTTTGGTCGAAAAAGTGAACCCATCCGGACCGTTTTCAATAGCGTTCGATCTGGAGTCAAAACAAGATGTACCGAATTTCAGAAAAAAATCTCAAAAATTGAGATGTGCACATGAGCAGACATTAGATGGACAGACCAGCTGAGGTATAATAAAGCTGGGTCCAGCTTAAGCCCTTTTGGATGTTACGCGTTTTCGCACAAACTTAATATATCTTATACTACAAGTGGCATAGGTATAGGTATAGGGTATAAAAATGTAAATTAGATTAAATATTTATTAAAAGATCTTACATAAGAAACAGTTAGGAATTTATATTATGTAGCAATTAGAAATGAATTGATGATTAGTAAATTTTTCTTCTTTCATACATAAATAAATAAACAAATTAATAAAAATTGAAGAGACTCAGCAGAAGGATCCGTCCATGATGATGATGCCTATACAACATATAAGAGATAGATACAACAAATATACTAATCTACCTGAAGACTAGATAAATTGTAGATGTATTATTAGTAAACAAACAATTTTTAATTCTTATTTACCGTATGTGTGTTTCTGATCCGTTCGCACCCATTTTAAATTTTATTTTTGAAATAAAAAAAAAAAATGGAAAGAAGATTAATTTGATCTTTCTCCAGTTTTGAATTCTCTCAATATAATTAATTGAATTGAAAGTGATAATGTATTTATGCTTAACCCTTTTCTTATTTTTGCAGCAAATTTTATTTCAAACTCAATCATTTATATGCTATCGTCAGTAAAGAGATATTCAAGAGTATATTTACTATTACTATGTAGTAGTACTACAGCAGAATTGCCCATAATTTTAGTTCTTTAAGTTAAACGTTCCTCTATCAAATTGTCTTCATGTTGCGTATATCGCATTAAGAACCAGGTGACTGGTTACATAAACGAACACTCGCAGCAGAAAGGTAATAATTTTTTTTGCACTTCCAGGGTACATAACAAGATCAACGACAAGTAATGACAAATTTTACGGCGAGACAAGAGCTGCTGTAGTTTCCGGGCCAAAAGACGCCATTAATGTTAAAGAAATTTTAAGTTCATTATGACGCTTTTTGAAGCAATCAACGCCCTAAGATCCCTATGTCAAGAAGGGAAGAATGAACAAACCGGTTTAGAGAGGACGCAGAGAAACATGCGAAGGGTAGCGAAAAACAAATATCTAAGCAAAACCATAAAAAGTCTGTCAAAAAACAACTAAGAAAAGTAGATTCGGGGGTAAACGACTCTTCTCCACTTTCCACTTTTATCTAAAAATATAATATATACATTTAAAATACCACTTATTTATTTTGGTTTGTGTTCTGTTGGGGGCGAACAATTTAACTCAGTTTCAATACGAATCGCAACAATTTTCAATAGTTTTTTCAAATTTGAAGACGGAATGTGTTTATCACAGGCAACTAACAAGTGGACAGACGGACGGACATGCCTAAATCGTTTCAGAAATTGGTGCTATGTGTCGCTAACGTTTCGATGCCGTAAATACACTCGCAAAATCTTTTTCTTATATATATATATATGTATATATACAAATTAGTTTTCTTACGTACAATATACGCATTGTTGGATTATACTGTCATTCTCATAGTGTTGTTTTACCAATTAATATAAGTTCCGGGTAATCTATTTTAAATTTTTATCAACGTTCCACAACTCAAGTAGGGGGATCCCGCAAATACTGCAAACTATTGCCCTATTGCAATCTGTTCCACTATAGTCGAAACCATAAAGACCATGGTCAGCTAGTTATATGGAGTCGACCGATCTAATTAGTGGCAGGCAATGTGGCTTTTCCAAAAATCGGTCCACTGTTGACTTAATGTGTTGCCTCGCCGAAAAGTGGAACCGAGCTATTCGCCAGTTTGCCGAAAGTGAGGTCATTCACCTAGATATCTCCAAAGCTTTCGACAGAGTATGGCATGATGCTTTTGTAGCCAAGATGATTGAATATCGACTTTGCTTGGACTTTTGCTCTCGACCTCATATAGCGAAATACTCATGTCCTTGAACATCGGCGTAATATGGGCTCTGTTGCGCTTAGGTGCAAGTATATTTCGGGCAAGTGTTGTGCGATCATGAATTAGATATGTCCACCAATTAATTGCTTCAAAAAGGCTGCAGGTCTTTCTCAATAAAAAGGTCATGCGACGCACCGTACAGAATAATCTTTTAAGCTCCGAAATTTTTCCAAGTAAAGATCAGTAACGCCGTCAAAACGTTCTCTTTACATCGTTTGAAACTATCTGACGTGAAAGATGATGTCGTAGAAAGCAACTCGAGCAACAGTCGTGCACAAAAAATAAAAAGAAGTGGGATTCTATTTATTTAACATTGATACCTTTGGAAAGGGACTGATGTAAGGGGTTCTAAAGAATCTATTGAATGCAATTTGAAATGTATTTGAACCTTTTTTTAAATCATTCCTTTTATGTACCACTACGCAGCTATTGATTGGCCCCCATTACTATATCTGGTAAAATTATTTCACAACGTACTGAGAATTGACAATTGTTTGACTTTTGAAATATAAAATATATTTTAAATATAAGTTTGTGTAGGTATTTGGTATTTTTATTTGAATTTCGATGGATGATACGTTTTCAGAGCTAATGTTGTTTACCGTTAGCGAAAGAGTAATGGAAGAAAAGCAAATTTCGCCTATACCTACTCAAGCGATTTCTTTAAAAGCCTTTAGACGTTTTTGTACAATTTCTCATATATGCTGATGTCGTGTTTAGCAGTTTGTGTTTATTATTTAATGTGCGTAAATGAAATTAAATAAAAAATATGTTTGTGTTAATGGATAATTTTGACATCATTAAATACATACACCTATACAGAAATTTTTAATGCAATGCACATGTTCTTATATATTATGTTATGTATATGTATGCGTTTTGTCATTCCAAATTAAAAATGTCAATCGTAACGTTTCAAAATATTGACACTCAATTCGTTTGCATCATAGAAGGAAGTCATACAGATGCAGAAAAAGTGTTGATGTCTCTATCTATGTGTAAATATAGTCCACCAAATATTTGCGAGGTTTTACATAAGTATATCCAAAATGCCGAGAGCATTTCTATTCACCAGCAGCAGCAGTAGCAGCTGCAGCAGGTGACAGCATCTTTTTTTTATATATATTTTCGCAAAATTGTATCATGGACTTGTTTAGTTTTCGCAATTGGGCATTAATTTAGTTAAGTATTTCGTTTGCGGCAGTTAATAACAGTGGGTGTTGCCTGTGTGTGCGCGGACTAAATTTTCTTTTAAGTGAAGAACGAAAGAAAACACAAAAGGTGGGAACTTGTGCAAGAAAAGTGTTTCATGAGAAGTTCATTGAAACAAAGAAGTTTTAATAAAACGCACAAAGTATATATATATATCGGTCACGAATCGTACTTTTTGATGAAATAATTTGAATTTTTCGGCATTTTCTCAATTACGAGCCATTTTAGACCTAGCCAGTCAAATGCTTTATAACACCAGTTTTCTTGTTATGGGTTGTATGATTTCTTCAGTCCTAGTTCTATTTAGACCTACTCTTAAGTTTGTCTCAACTATGTAGGGATCTGGTTCTATAATATTTTGAGAGGAGACATGCTGCCCTTATAAGTTTTCTTAAAACTTGCGTAATTTATTGAGCGCTCTGAAGATGTGGACTGATCGAGGGGTCAATCATTTTTGATTTCTTAATTTCATCTGTCTTTAATTTAAGGGACCAATTATGCCGGTCGGTAAGTTCGTT